CAATTCTCCTGCCTCAGCCTCCTGAGTAGCTGGGATTACAGGCACGTGCCACCATGCCCAGCTAATTTTTTTTGTATTTTTAGTAGAGACGGGGTTTCACCATTTTGACCAGGATGGTCTCGATCTCTTGACCTCGTGATCCACCCGCCTCGGCCTCCCAAAGTGCTGGGATTACAGGCGTGAGCCACCGCGCCCGGCTGGACTTCAACTTTCTAGGTTTCTTCCAGCATACTTTGGTTCTTGTTGGCAGTTTGACTGCAGCAAACCGTACCATTCTTTTTATTATTTATTTATTTTTATTTTGACTGAGACCATCACTTAATAGCAAAAACACACCATTCTTTATTCACCCTTGTGTTAAGACTTTCATGCAAACAGACTAAGTAATGCAGAACTGTTGCAGCGGCCTCCCTTTTTTGTTTTTTGAGATGGAGTTTCACTCTTGTTGCCCCGGTTGGAGTGCAATGAGACAATCTCAGCTTACTGCAACCTCTGCCTCAAGGGTTCAAGCAATTCTCTTGTCTCAGCCTCCCAAATAGCCGGGATTATAGGCGCCAACCACCATCCCCAGCTAATTTTTTGTATTTTTAGTAGAGACAGGATTTCACCATGTTGGTCAAGCTGGTCTCGAACTCCTGACCACAGGTGATCCACCCGACTCAGACTCCCAAAGTTCTGGGATTCCAGGCACGAGCCACCATGCCTGTCCCCATTTTTTTCATATGTGAGTCATGCATAGTTTAGTATATCTGCAGAATCCTCTAAAATGTGACAGAGCCTTACTTCAAGCCACACACTAAACAAAAGAGGCTCCCCTAGTCTCTTTCTCATCTATTAAGTCTTAAAAAATAATAACTTACCTCTTAAGATTTTACAACAAAAACCATAATATATTAATGAAATGTGATGTTACAGTATTAAGATACCTCAATAGGCTGGGCATGGTGACTCACGTCTGTAATCCCAGCATTTTGGGAGGCCGAGGTGGGTGGATCACCGGAGGTCAGGAGTTCAAGACCAGCCTGACCAACATGGTGAAACCCCATCTCTAAAAAAAAAGATACCTCAATAAAAAATAGATTAGGCGAGGTAGCTCACGCCTGTAATCCCAGCACTTTGGGAAGCTGAAGCAGGTGGATCTCCTGAAGTCAGGAGTTTGAGACCAGCCTGGCCAACATGGCAAAACTCTGTCTGTACTAAAAATACAAAAAATTAGGCATGGTAGCACATGCCTATAGTCCCGGCTACTTGGGAGGATGAGACAGGAGAATCACTTGAACTCAGGAGGCGGAGGTTGCAGTGAGCCAAGATCAGTCTGGGCAATAGAGTGAGACTCTGTCTCAAAAAAAAAAAAATGAAAAAACAAACAAACAAAAAAGAAGACACACACCAAGAAACACCTCATTACCAATTAAATCCCTTTTTTATCACAAAGAAACTAAAATCCTAAAAAAGCCAGAGGGGTCCCATTTAGTTACCCATTTCTCTTCTCAAGGAGGCCTCAGTTTTAAAAAGATTCTTTGGAAACTGAGTAGCCCCCAGTTTTCATATCATCTGCACTGGACAGGTGACAGCACCTGAGATTGGTTTCTAGAATTATACCCTTTGCCTGGCCCCTCTTTTCCTGATGTCACCACCTGCTTCATCAGTTACTGCCACATGTCCAAACATTTCGTGGCCATATGCTACAGTAAAGCTTGGCCAACAACAAAAGCTTTCATTTGAGTTTTCTTGTTGGAAGCTATGCCTGCCTAGCCTTCTGTAACCCCACCAAAGCCAGTCTTGAAGACGGTAAAGCAGCAGCCCCCTTGCCTGAGTTGTGCTGCTTTCTCCCTTGGGGAAATGACATAGCTTCCTTTTTATTTTTATTTTTTTTAATTTTTAGAATTTTTATTATAAATAATAGTAGAGACAGAATCTCACTATGCTGCCCAGGCTGGTCATGAGCCACTGTACCTGGCCAGCTTCCTTTGTTTTTTATTTTAAAATTTTAAAAGAGACGGAGTGTCTCCATGTTGCCCAGGCTGGTCTCAAACTCCTAGATTCAAGCAGTCCTCCCACCTCAGCCTCCCAAAGTGCTGGGATTACAGGCGCTAGCCACCATGCCCAGCCCCAGCTTCCTTTTTAATCAACACTGATTCCTTTCCTTGTCACTCTTCCCCTCTTTCTCTTGGACTAGTCTTTTACCTCCATTCCTTGCATGAGTTACTGAATTGCCTCTGGCAAAATAGGAACCTTTCCTTTCCCCTATCCTCCTAAAGCACTAGTCTTTACATGTGCTCCAGTCAGCTAAAGATAAAGAGGAGGCTGATATTCTCCAGAGAATTATGGTAAATTTCTTATACAATGAGAAGCAGTGACCCAAGGCCTCTAGATCATTAAATTGAGTTGGAAATTTCTTCTCCATTTTTTTATTTGGGGAGAGATAATACTAGTCTGAATTTTAAGAAATCATTTCTTAATTGTTATCTATATTAATGGAGAACATAATTCAGTAGGGCCTAGAGTAGAGTACAAGATTCTTTTTTTTTTTTTTTTTTTTTTTTTTTTTAAGAAAATTTTTTTTTTTTTTTTTTAAGACAGAGTCTCACTCTGTTGCCCAGGCTGGAGTGCAATGGCGTTATCTCAGCTCACTGCAGCCTCCAAACATGCCTCAGCCTCCCAAGTAGCTGGGATTACAGGTGCTCACCACCACGCCCAGCTAATTTTTGTATTTTTACTAGAGACAGCGTTTCACCACATTGGCTAGGCTGGTCTTGAACTTCTAATCTTAGGTGATCCACCTGCTTCAGCCTCCCAGAATACTGGAATTACAGGTGTGAACCATCACACCTGGCCACATACAACTTTTGACTCCCCATAAACTTTACTAATAGTCTGCTGTTGACCAGAAGCCATACCAATAACATACAGTTGATTTAACACACATTTTGTATGTTATATGTATTATCTACTATATTCCTACAATAAAGGAAGCTAGAGAAAAGAAAATATTAGAAAATCATAAGGAAGAAAAAATATATTTACAATTCATTAAATAGAAGTGGAGCATCATAAAAGTTCATCCTCATCATCATCTTCGCACTGAGAAGGAGGAAGAGGAAGGCTTGGTCTTGCTGTCCCAGGGGTGGCAGAGGCAGAAGAGATGGAGAAGTTGGAAGGGGGTCCAGAGAAGCAGGCACACTTGGTATAACTTTTTGTGTGTGTTTGTTTTTTCTTTTTTTTTGTTGTTTTTTTTTGAGATGGAGTTTCACTCTTGTTGCCCAGGCTGGAGAGCAATGGTGCAATCTTGGCTCACCACAACCTCCGCCTCCTGGGTTCAGCGATTCTCCTGGCTTAGCCTCCTTAGTAGCTGGGATTGGGCTGGGCGCAGTGGCTCACACCTGTAATCCGAGCACTTTGGGAGGCCGAGACGGGTGGATCATGAGGTCA